AATTTGCACCTATACGAACTCAACTACCTGATAATTTTTTATAAATATTTATACATTCAAAAAGTAATTCAAACCGTTAACTAATAAAATCGCTGTATGACTAGTTGTTCCAGCTTTGTTAACAGCTGTACAAGTGTAATTTCCAACGCTATCAGCTGCTACAGATTCAATGGCCAACATGCTGACCCTAGCTCCAACTTTAGAAACTACAGCAAAAGGTTGAATTTCTGTTATTAGAAGACCATTGAAAAACCAACTCACCGTCAAAGGTAAATCTCCTTCAAAAACCGTGCATTGCGATGTTACAAATTGCCCGTTATTAACTGGTGTTTCACCAAATGAGAAAGGTGTTATTTTGGGCATAACTGAAAAACGAATCAAACTTAAGGTGAAATATAATACTAGCCAAAAAGACGTCCAATTTATGAACTAAGCATTGTTATACGAGGATTAATGGAATTTTAGGCAAGGAAATTTATATGATTAAACTGTGTAACTGTAACAAATAAAACTTTAAGAATATTTTTAATTTAAACCATTGACAACAAGAACTGCTGTATGTTCTGCAGTTCCAGCTGAGTTTTTAGCGAGGCAAGTATAATTTCCACTATGCTCGCCAAGTAAGCTGTCTATATTGAGTGCAAAAAGCCTATGACCCAATTTTCCTATAGATATCAAGTCATCATCATTTAATATTGGGCGGCCGTTATGCAACCAAATTACTTGAACTGGTAAATCGCCTCCGGACACAAAACACTGTATGGATGCAGGGTCACCATTGTTCAAATTCTTTTCGAATTCGAAATGCGCTATCTTCGGTAAAACTGTAGAGCAATACCATTAAATATTATTTTAAGTTAAATAAAAAAAATAAACAAAACTTATAGCCTCTCCATACCGGATGAAGGCTCAGGACTGGTTTGTTTAATAGGTTTTATTGGACCAGGAGTTCAAAAATAATAAACATGCTACAAAAATAAAATACATGAACGTTTAAATTAAATGTTGACAATAACAAACCATTAACCCTCAATTCAGCAGAATAAACTGCAATTCCTGCGCTATTTTCAGCAATACATTTATAAATGCCAGCATGTGTTGCACTGACACTTTCAAAATTCAACAAAGAAATTCGTTTTCCTACACTAGTAACGGTTAAACCAGGAATTTGAGGTAATTCGTGTTCATCGAAAAGCCATTGAATATTTAGAGGCAAATCTCCGGTTGTCACAAAGCATTGAGCAGAAGCTGGTTCTCCATAATTTAAAGGAACGTCGCCAAAAGTAAATGGCGTGATCTTTGGCGAAACTTCATGCAAAAGATAAATTGGCAACTTAATTATAACTATAAAGCAAATTATGATAACTTATAATATCGAGGTGTATTGATTATTTTTATGAAAATCCCTTTCTTTCAACGTCAATGGATATTTACTGTTGGAAAATTGTGATGGACATTGGACATCGGTTGTAGATTTCAATATAAAGCATGCACAAAAAATAGGATAGACCAATCATTTTTGACAAACCATTAACTCTCAATTCGGTAGAATACTCTACCATTCCTGCATTATTTCTAGCTATACATTTATACGTTCCTGCATGAGTTGCAGTAACACTATCTATATTTAGCAACAGTGTACGTTTTCCTGCATTTATTATAGTTAATCCAGAAATTTGTGGCATGTCATGATCTTCAAAGAGCCAAGTTATGTTCAATGGTAAATCTCCTGTAGCTACAAAGCATTGAACTGATGCAGGTTCACCGTAATTCAGCGGGTCGTCACCAAAGGAAAAGGGACTGATTTTTGGAGAAACTTGATAAAGAGATAAATATAATCAATTATAGAAGCATAGACTGACACAATGATTTGATTGAACAAAATAAAATAATACCAAAAAGTAGTTTTGTTAAATAATAGAGCCACATTGTGTGTTACAATTTCAATCTATCGTAAACTACCTAACCGTTAACCAAAAATCTAGCAATTGACACTGTTCGGCTATTCTGAATATCCAGCTGAATTTTGGACGCGTTTGCTAAAGTTCTGTATGTTACACATTTACGCTGTTTTTATATGCAAGTAATTATATCATATTCCTACATTGATAAGATGAAGAGTTAAATTTTTTCTTTGTTCAAATACTAGCTACATCAACATCATAGATCAAGAAAGATCTCGAATTGATGTTTCGCAATACGTGGATGCTACTTCATTCAAGTTTATTTCAGCAGTGTCTGTTTTGGTAATATATGAGTTATTTTGCATATAGCATTGTACCCCAAATATTCTATTAATGATTTGTATTATTTGAAGGAGAGGTAGAAAAATCAAATTCATAAAACATAACAAAACTAAAAATAAATTAATTCATCAGAGTAAACAAACCATTTACGATCAAGGTAGCACTGTGTTGTGCAATTCCTGCGCTGTTTAGCGCATTGCATGTATAGTTTCCAGTATGGTTTTCAGAAGCATTGTCAATATTCAAGATATGTGTACGTTTACCTAAGTTTGCGAATGTTATACCAATATCCACATCAATTGGATAACCATCTTTAAACCATGTTACATTTATTGGCAAGTCGCCTCCAAGAATTACACATCCAACAGAAGAAGGTTCACCAAAATTCAGTGGCTCTTCACCAAAGTCGAATGGAGCTATTTTAGGCGGCACTAGTGATTTAAAGATATATACTTACATAAAAATATTTGTTTGAGATAATTGCATAATTGGGTATGAAAGGATAAGATAGGAAGTTCTACAAAAATAAAATTTACCATCTACAGATCTCCTTAAAGCTAAATTAAACAAACCATTAACAATTAATTCTGCAGTATGCTGAGCAATTCCTGCCTTATTTAAAGCACTACAAGTATAGTTTCCTGCATGATTTTGTGAAACACTGTCTATATTAAGAATATGAGTACGTTTTCCCATGCTCCCTACTGTTATTCCAATATCCAGATCAATAGGATAACCATTTAATAACCAAGTTATATTCATCGGTAAATCTCCACCAAGAATTGTACAAACGGCTGAAGTTGGTTCGCCATAATTTAGAGGTCCATCACCAAAGTCAAAAGGCCCAATTTTTGGAGGAGCTATAAATATTTTTATAATAAACGTTTGAGATGTTTGATGCAAATATAGTTTATTAAGATATATTGAGAATCCATAAACTTCAACGTTTTTCAACTCGTAAAGTTTCGGACTGCTTTGAATCAGACAATCATGAATGAATAAGATTTCCTTAGTGTGTGATTAACAATTGTTACTGGCGCAACCAAGAATACTTGTTTAAGAACTTGTTAAGAACATCGTACATAGAATCTATCAAATTGATATTTGTTTCCGACGACGATTAGAGTTTGGAGATTATAAAATATAGGGATCGTGGAAATTGGAGTATTTAAATAAAAAAAAAATAAAAAAAACAACTTTATCAATATTCCTAACCATTAACCACGAGGCTTGCTGTATGCTCTGAAGTACCAGCTGAATTTTCTACTCGGCAAGTATAATTGCCAGCATGTTCAGCCCGTACACTCTCAATATTCAGAAAATGAGATCGTTTTCCCATTGCTCCAATGGTTAAATCACTAATTCTGGAGTCAAATGGTTTAATTTCTTGCCCATCTAATAACCAACTGAAAGATAATGGTAAATCTCCAACAGAGGTCACACATTGAACTGATGCAGCTTCACCAACACCCAAAGCGTTCTCCCCAAAGTCAAATGGTGTGATTTTTGGTGCAACTGGCAATTGTATCATAAGATTTCGTTTAGTAATAGAAACTATTATATTATATAATATAATTAGCAATTAAGTGAAATATATCTAGCTACTCTAAGAAAATATCGTATCGCATAACACTGATATTGTTATTATTTCGTCGTTGTCACATTATTATTCAAGGTGTTCAATGATACTATTCAATGTTCACGCAAGGTACAAGAAAAGGAGCTGGAAATATAGGTATAACGCAAAAATATAAATAATTCAAAGATAACTACGCATTTTTTATTGTTTTCATCAAACCATTTATAATTAATTCGGCTGTATGTTCAGCTACACCAGCTATATTTTCAGCAACGCATGTATACTTCCCAGCATGACTTTCTGACGCACTATCGATGTTCAGAATATGGGTACGTTTGCCCATGCTACCCAAAGTTATACCCATATCATCATCAATAGGATATCCATTTAATAACCATGTCACATTCATAGGTAAGTCGCCACTCATTGTGACACAATTAACGGTAATAGCATCGCCAAAATTTGAGGTTTCATGACCAAAATCGAAGGCGGCTATTTTTGGTCGAACTGAAAAACGCGATATCAGATATATTATTGACCTTGTTCCCAATCTTGTTAGGAAGTGGGCAGTATCAGGATTGGCAGTTAAAAGTATGATTTATATAGATCTACTACAACTAAGATTCCATTTACCATCATTCAAATAAACAAACCATTTACTACTAAAGTAGCAGTATGCTCTGCAACGCCGGCGTTATTCTGTGCCTTACACGTATAATTCCCGGCATGATTTTCTGAAGCACTGTCAATACTCAAAACATGTGTCCGTTTACCTAAACTTGCTATAGTTAAGCCTAATTCTTCATCAATAGAATAACCATTCAATAACCAAGTGATATTCATAGGTAAATCTCCACTCATGATAACACAATTCACGGATACAGGATCACCAAAGTTTAAACTCTCATCTCCAAAATCGAAAGCGGCTATTTTAGGACGCACTATAACAATTGAGTAGAAATACTCTTGAGTGAAAATTTAATTTAACGTATGAGACATTTTTACTAATCAGAGAAATTACTCCAATTATTGGGCGGACAAGATTGGAAGTTATAGTAACATCTAAATATAATTTTCGAAGTCTAAGGATATTGGAATAATTGGTGTGAATAAGAAAATAAAACTATATGCAGTTAAATACAAGTGATAACAGTCTACTGAATAAATAAACAAACCATTAACAATCAATATCGTAGTATGCTGAGCTATGCCTGCATAATTTTGTGCAAAACAAGTATAATTTCCTGCATGGTTTTCCGAAGCACTATCGATATTCAAAATGTGTGTTCGTTTTCCCATACTTCCTAATGTGATTCCCAAATCTGATTCTATAGGATATCCATTTAACAACCATGTAACATTTATTGGCAAATCGCCCCCCAGAATAATACAAGTCACAGACGTTGGTTCGCCGAAATTTAACGGTTCGTCCCCGAAAAGGAATGGAGCTATTTTTGGTGGAGCTAGGAGGGCAGGTAAATATAATTAGCAAAAGTAAAACTGAACTTATGACCATATACTACTAATTTTAATTAAACTCAAAACAGTCTCCAAAACAAACCATTAATAACTAACAAAGTGGTATGCTGGGCTGTTCCAGCATCATTTTCAGCTTTGCAAGTATAGTTTCCAGCATGAATATCAGAAGCGCTTTCAATATTGAGAATATGAGTGCGTTTACCCATACTACCCAATGAAATACCCATATCAGACTCAATAGGATACCCATTCAATAACCAAGTTACATTGATAGGTAAATCGCCGCTCATAACAAAACAGTTCACCGAGACAGGATCACCGTAATTTAAAGTTTCTTCGCCGAAATCAAACGCAGCTATCTTTGGAGGCACTAATTTGAAAATTATCTTATTATATTTTGGAAATATGGATGTTTATTGGAAAGATTGTTAAATAATTAAAATAATTCTTAATAGCCAATATCCGATTACATAACTATTAAAACAAACCATTAACTATTAAATTAGTTGAATGTGTAGCCACTCCTGCTAAATTTACAGCAACACAGCTGTAGTTTCCAGCATGTTCAGCATTCACACTATCAATATTTAAAAAGTGCGTGTGTTTTCCTACTTTGCTTAAACTTATACCATCATCGGAATGAATTGGTTGACCATTCAATACCCAAGTTACATTTATAGGCATATCACCTCCTGATATAACGCAAGTGACAGTAGTTGGTTCGCCATAATTTAGTGGTTGGTCACCGAAACTAAATGGAGATATTTTTGGCGGCACTATAAATTCAAAGGTTATCGTCAATATCTATGAATTTAAAAATTAAGGCAAGATCATTATTCAGGATCGAGAAAGTAACAACATTTATGTTACGATTGCTTCGTAAAAAGTAATTGTCACGCATCCAAAATAAATTGAAAAGGAGAGGAATAGACTGTTTGTGGTGATAAAAACCTGGAATAAGGTAACATAAAACAATGTTAATTTTTATATCGACAAACCATTAACTGCTAAATTAGCTGTTTGCGCTGCTGTTCCGGCTTTGTTAGAAGCTACACAACTATAATTTCCAGAATGTTCAGCATTAACACTATCAATATTGAGAATGTGCGTATGCTTTCCCACTTTACTAAGACTAATATCATCATCAGGATAAATACGCTGATCATTTAATAACCAAGTCACATTTATGGGCATATCACCTCCTGTGAGTACGCAAGTTACCGTAGTTGGTTCGCCATAATACAAAGGTTCTTCTCCAAAACTAAATGGTGCAATTTTTGGTGGAACTAAAAATTTAGTATAATAAAAAATTATATATCTGAAAGACACAATGCCTTGCTACAATTTAAAATATAATACGTTACTATTCTGATAAATATTTAGCAAACCAGTATTGCTGAAGTCCTACTGAAATTAAACCGTAACCGTGTATGAATATCTACTTTTAGGAAAGGATTTTTACGGAATTTATTTAAGGGAAGGTAAAAATTAGTACATTAAATTAATGATTAAATCCAAGTCTTTTAAACTCAACAAACCGTTAACTACTAAATTTGCTGTTTGCGTGGCTGATCCTGCTGCATTAGTTGCAACGCAACTGTAATTTCCAGCATTTTCAGCACTAACACTATCTATATTCAATATATATGTATGTTTTCCAACTTTGCTAACACTAATATCATCATCGTAATGAATTGCTTGATCATTTAGTAACCAGGTTACATTGATCGGCATGTCACCACTTAATATCAAACAGTTGACAGTAATCGGTTCGCCGTAATTTAAGGCTTCTTCACCAAAACTAAAGGCAGCTATTTTTGGCGGCACTAAAATTATTCAATGCAATAAAATTAGATAAGGTAAATCAATATTGATATAGGGTCTTCAAAGGATAGAATTAAGGAATGCTGTCAAAATAAAAAAAATCGATTAACAATAATAATGCTCGTTGAAACAAACCATTAACAAGCAAACGTGATGTGTGAGTAGCTTGCCCGGCATTATTTGTGGCTTGGCATTCATAATCTCCTATGTGTTCTTCAGAAACAGCATCAATAGTTAAAACACTTATTTTTTTGCCAATATTAGAAGTCGAAATATCCGTAAGAGTTGAAGAAAAATCTTTTCCGTTCAAAGTCCAGCTTATACTTACTGGTAAATCTCCCATTGAAACTAAACATTGCACCGAGGCTGTTTCTCCATAACTCAATGGATCTTCGCCGAATTCGAATGGACTAATTTTTGGGGGTACTAATAGAGGAAATAATTTAATAATTCTTTAGATCATAAAATTTACTCATGAAAACGCTTATTATGGAAAGGTATTTCGAAATAGGAGTTTGAACTTAAAATAAATAGTCAAATTAAAATAAGATAAAAAAAAATACATCAAATTATTTATTAACCGTTGACTTGCAACTCTGCACTATATTTCACAATTCCAGCCTCGTTGCTGGCTTCGCAAGTATAAGACCCTCTATGTCTGCCCTGGACAGATTCAATACTTAATGTACTTATTCTTTGGCTAGTTCTACTAATGAGCAAACCATCATTACTGGATATTCGTTCACCATTAAAATACCATTGAATATCAATCGGTAAATCTCCCTTATTTACAGTACACGTAGCAGATACCATATCAAAAATATTAATCTTGTCTTCGCCAAAGTCAAAATGCACTATTTGAGGTGTCACTAGTAAAAAAGTAGAACAAAAATGTTAAGTCTATGGCAGTTATGCATCTAAATGAATGTATCTGCAAGATACATCTTAGTGATATATCTCCCATTAAACTAAACTAAATGGGCCTTTACAGAATTCGAATGGACTAAATTTTGGGGGTACTGACAAAGGAAAAAATTTAATAAATCATTAGATCATAAAATTTACTCATAGAGCCGCTTATTATGGAAAGGTAGTTTATTTCGAAATAGGACTTGAAACTTAAAATAATTATTTAAATTAAAAAAAAATTGAAAAAATAACAAAATACAATTATTGACCATTAACTTGCAACTCTGCACTATATTTTGCCATTCCAGCCATGTTGCTGGCCTCGCAAGTATAAGACCCTCTATGTCTGCCCTGGACAGATTCAATGCTTAAAGTACTTATTCTTTGGCTAGTTCTACTAATTAGCAAACCATCATTACTGGTTATTCGTTCGCCATTAAAATACCATTGAATATCAATTGGTAAATCTCCTTTATTTACAGTACACATAGCAGATACCATGTCAAAAATATTAATCTTATCTTCGCCAAAGTCAAAATGCACTATTTGTGGTATCACTAGTAAAAAACAAGAAAGGAAATGTTAAATTTATGGTAGTCATACAGCTCACTGAATGTATTATAAAATAAGAAATAGTTTGGCTTTTGGAGTGATATATCTATAGTTGAAGGGACGAAGGCTATATCTTGGAAGTAAAATTAAATCACTTTAGAAAAATATGATCAACTAATTCTAATTCAGTTCACCGTTAACAGACAATTCAGCAGAATGTCTATAAGTTCCAGCGTCATTGGTCGCAAGGCAAGTATAGTTGCCTCTATGTTCGTCCTGAACACTTTCAATACTCAAAGTAGTTATTCTATGACCAGTTCTACTAATTGATAATCCTTCATTTGAAACTAGTTTTTCCCCATTAAATATCCATTGTAGGTCAATTGGCAAATCACCTTTATTTGCGGTACAGCTAACCGACACCATATCGAATACATTGATAATTTCTTCGCCAAAGTTGAATGCCATTATTTGTGGAGCAACTAATAATTGTAATTTAGAAAATGAGAACCGCAAATATGAGCAATACTTGAACTATCTCTAATATATATTAATATTTAATTCCTTATCTATGATTTATTTCAATGGACATACAAAATTCAAATGTAAAGGGAGGAATATACAACTTAGGTTAAAACTTAAAAAATATAAATTACCGGTAAAAATCTATGATTTGATCACAAATTAACTTTAGTTATTGAAAGGGTTTTGTAAATTTATATCAAATTCGCAAACTAAAATAAAAAATGCGTCTTTATAAAATACTTCTATCGTGTGTTACTTTTATGTATATTAAATATTTATGATACATTGTATCCAATAAACTCTAATAAATATTACCCCCTAAAATTTAAATATTGAATTGATTTTCATACTAAATATCAAATAATTTTAAAGCGTTTGATAAAGAGTTTCCAAAAAAGTAATGACAAAGCAGTAAAATTTTAAGCTCTTCAGCAACGAATTTATTTCTTTTGTGGGAGTAGTAATGGATAATAAAAATATAAACTCCCATCATATAAAAACTACTCCCACACTTTATATCAATTTGAATCATACTTTATCCTCTTTATAGCATCTCTAAATATTTGGTGTTAATGATGGAAATATTAAAAATAAAATAATATAGGTACTAAAAAGAAAATTTGTGTCAAAGGTAAAATCTACAACAACCAACTAAATCGAAATCAATTTATATCAGTCTCTCAATATTTATCTCTCCGAACCATTAACTATCAAATCTGCACTATGTTTAGCAACCCCTGCACTATTAGAAGCGATGCAAGTATATTTTCCATTATGTCTTCCCAAAACAGATTCAATACTGAGAGTACTGATTCTTTGACTAGTTCTGCTAATTAAAACTCCATCATTTGTAGTAATTAATTCTCCATTAAAAAGCCACCGAAGTTCTATTGGTAAATCTCCCTTGTTTGCGGTACACGTGGTCAAAATCATATCAAGAATGTTAATTTTTTCATCGCCAAAGTCGAACGGTATTATTTGCGGGGGTACTAAATAATTAAAGATAATCAAAATTAATAAAACTTTATTTGAATTATTTATTTAAAAAGTTTCAATAATTTCAAAGCTAAAATTTTCGATACGTTAGTACAAGCATTTAGTAGTATTACTTGTTTGCCTAATACTTGTTTTATATTTATGATAAAAAAGTATATTTGCATGTGAACTAATCGCTGAAGTCTTTTAAAGTTGCAATAAATGCCACGATGAAATACTTTCCTAAACATTTTAAGGCAAATTCAAAAAATCAATGAAAGATTCCATGTCGAAAACGACTGTCTATCTTGAAAAGCTAAAAGGCTCTCTGAAATCGATTTTTGGCAAATCTTATAAAGAAAAATTTTAAGAAAACATGATTCTGAATACAACGTCAGAATGTTAATATTCGCTTTAAAATAGATTTAACTAGATGGCAATAATTATAAGAACAGATAATAATATTCTAAAGTAAACCGGTATTTATGGGTTATCTATCAATTATAATAATGTCTAAATCTTGAAGATTAGAACGCCTCACATACTGAAAAATTTAATTACTATGAGGTCCTCGCTGCTATAAAATTTATATCATAAAATTTGGAAGGAATGAAATCAAATATGAATATACAGAAACGATATTCATTATAAAATTCCAACCATTAACAGATAATTCTGCTTGAAATTTGGCGATTCCAACTGGATTGGTCGCCACACACGAATAATTTCCCCTATGTCTGCCCCTGACTGATTCTATACTCAATGAACTATTTTGAGAAAAGTGTATTAAAATTCAGGTAAGAAACTTATTCTTGCTATATTTGTTGTAGATACACAGAAATTGCATTAAGATCATTAAGAAACAGAAATATGTCTGATGCTCAAATAACTCTACTATTTCATCTATTGTTACAGATATCTTTTATTGCAAAAAAATGAAAATACCATTACTAAATACATTAACAAGTTTAAAGAAATATGGCTTGTATTGGTATGTGGACTATATTAAACTATCTAACAGTATCTTTTGACACATTTCGGGTCTTGATCTTCAAATGCTGATAAAATTAATTAATAAGGTTAGGGTAAAGATTATGCAAAATGTGATATGAAGGATTGTTACATAATGATATCATGATAAAATAATAGTTCCTTGCATACAAGGGAACTCAGTCTTAGAACAACGCCCAATAACTTTGCCAATAAATTGATAATACGCCATCATAATGCTGTATAATAATTTTGACTCTTATCCGGTCCAAAAGTTCCCTAGCATGCTACAACAGCACACAGAAAATAAGTTATCCCAATTATTTGCTCAAATACGACTTTTCTGTGTACTACAATCTTTGACAAATATTTTTTCAAAATCCCATTACCTAAGTCTTTGATTCATCCGGCCTATAAGAATCCCATCATTTGAGGAAATTTTCTCATCATTAAATAACCATTGTATCTCTATGGGCAAGTCGCCTTTATGAACCGTGCACGTGGCCGAAACCATGTCAAATATGTTTGTGACATCAGAACCAAAATCAAATGGTACAATTTGTGGGGCTACTATAAAAATCAGAATGATTAAATAGTATATGCCGTCAAGTAAAAGATATTTTAATATCAATTAATAGATTCGGAATAACTTTCACTAGTCAATATGTTTTCTTAAATCTGTGTGGTTCAGAAAACTATTCTTAAAATCAAATAAAATACATAGTAGAAGCCGATCGAAATTTTTCAGTTCAAACTGCTCTTGCTTTAGACATGTATATCCTAGCAAAAACTACAAATAAATACAAGCAGTCAATAATAACTTACCTCCATTACATTTATCTGCTGCCACCTAAATACATCATCTATTTACATAAAATAAAATACATAAAAACAATCGAATCGCCTGAAAAAATCCTGTAAACAAAATGATATCAGAGTTGCCAAAAAATTGGGTAATGCATACTGAAATGCATTCAATACCAATGTAGGTTTTTGCAACTCTTATATATGTATAATCAAAATGACTTAATAAAATACTCTATAAAAATAAAATTACTCAAGAGTGCGCAACTTTGAAATTCAAATTTAAAATGAAGAATAAATAATATTTCAAAAGTATTAAAACCGTTCTACTTTTAATCTGATATAACTATATCAATCAATAATTTACTCAATCAGGCGAGATAAATTTTATTCAATAAACTAAAATTTTGAAAGAGTATTTTATTAAGTATCCACAAAAATATGTTCGATTGTATACAGCACAGATAATATAAAACATAAAATAAATTTAAATATTTTCTGTAAACCTTGATCATGATTTATGCCATTACTCATAAAATTGTAAAAGAAAAAAATAATTATGAAACCGATTCTGCCGCACAACAGACCAATGTTATGGCAAGGCCATGTTACCGTCCAACTTGGATACATTATGCTACTCAATCATACTGAATACTGTCAAAATGTCATGTATTTGCTGTGCATTCGCGCGTTTAACACATAAACTGCAACGTCACTTGTATGTTATGAAGCTGGGTCAGAAAGATCATGTCATCTAAAACCGTTTTTTTGACATTTGTGCGGTTTCTGGGTTAGGTTTTCTATATGACAACCTGAGAAATATGCCTGATATATTAATATGGGCAGTTCTTCATAACATGACCTTGCCATAACATCTTTCTGTTATGCGGCAGAATTGGTCCCTATATCATCATTAATATAATTTAAGTGAAAAATTAATAATAAATAATTTATAGATCCTTACACGCCTTCTATACGATAATAATATATACTTTATTATTAGTACTTTAGATAGAAAAAGTTAAACTATATTACTAATAGTATGATTCCTAAAAAAATGTTTTAATATTGTGAATATAAAATTGTTGCTTTTTTATTTTGTTTTAAAAAATTGCTGTATATCACCGAATTAATCAGAATATTTAGAGTTTGAACTTACCCATAACTTGAACATCCAAAGTTCCTCTGGCTGTGTATCCTTGGGCATTCCTTGCAACACATGTGTAGACTGCCTGATCAGAATTCCTTTCCACATTTTCGATTATTAATGTTCCATTGGCAAATACCTTCTGTTTTCTGTTAATAGGGAGCTGTCTTCCATCTGAAAATAAATCAATTTTAAGAATAACGTATTTAGTTTTCGTCCTCTCGCAGAAAATAACTGATTAAGAATGCAAGCAAATTAGGATCAAAGAACACGTGGTTCTGATCGCAAGATGTTAATTTGAATCCATTTTTTCGTCGTAAGAAATTTTGAGAATAAACCTTAGAATATAACGTTAACATCCCAATGAATCAGAAGTTAAGTAAATTTCCGCTACTTTGCAAAGCATGGTTTATTAAGTTCGTGTATTCAAAACTATTTGTTGAAATTTTGTCAAACTTAGAAACTTTATTTATCCATTTCATATACTGTACCTCGTTCCCAAAAAACTGATTCAATAGGATATCCAGCCACTGGACAAGTCACTTGCAAAATTTCACCGGCAACAATAGCTTTCTTCTCCATGTCGTGAACATAAGGTGCACCATAAACATTGATTTTGGCTGCATGGGATGCTGATCCAACCTGTTTTAATTAAAATATTAATAATACAGTTTACGATTATTTAAAAAGATTATATTAAAAATATGCATACCTTGCTAGTAGCCACACATTTATAAAGTCCTCCATCATTTGTATGAATTGAAGTAATATTTAAGAAAGATACAACATCGCCGTTGACGGTAACATATTGGCCTATCTGATACCTGTAAAACAATAAAAGTTTAATTAGAATTAATTATAGAATTTATTAATTCAATTTTTTACTAATAAATTTTACCTATCATTGTTTACAATTCTCTTATCATGCAATTCCCATGTAATGTCAGGTGTAGGGTTACCAGTTGCAGCACACTTAAGAAATACTGATGGACCAGGTTGCATAGTTTCTTCAGGAAAAGAATGTCTGATCTGAGGTGGTTCGACTGTAGAAAAATAAATTAATTATAGTACCAATATTTTCATGAATTCATAAACAGTATTGCAATAATACTTACATCTTCCTCCAAGTTTAAGCTCAGCACTGCCTTGCGCACTTTCTTGTTCGTTACGAATGAAACATTGGTACATGCCTTTATCTTCTTTTTTCACCGAATCGATTCTTGAAAATAAAAATAATAAATTTAATGCAAAATCATAAACTATTGATTTTATTTATTATGGACTTTTCATATTATAAATGCTAACAAAAAATTTCGTGAAAATATATGTCAAAAATTAGATAGAAACAGAATATTTATAGAATTATATTTAGCTATAAATAATAAAGCAGTGAGATTCTTAATGCCATAGTCATTAGTTTTGTTTATTTTATTAAACAGATTATTTTTAATAATAAATTTTGCTAATTAAATTATCAACCATAAACAGATTTTTGAATTGATACTGGATTTATTGAGATTACATTAACCAGTAAAATTAATATTAATTATTAATAATAAAATAATTGAATAACTTTTTGATGTATCTCAATAAGGACTCGCAGAAAAGAGCAAAATAATTCATTCACATTTTTGCAAATAGTCTAAAAAAAATTCCACTTTTTTGCAAATAGTCCTAAGCTTATTACACAATTTAAAAGCTGCTGAAAAGATATCAGTGAAGAAACATGCTAGATAAAAATCTTATTTTGGTTTAATTACAAAAATTTAATAAAGTAAGGAGTAATAGGACGCGTCAAAATTTCAAAACAGTAAATTCTAAGGCATTTTTACCTTAAGGCAAAGGTAAAAAATTAATTTTTATGTAATACTAGCAAACCCGACAAACTTCGTTTTGCCACCAGATGGTTTCGTGAGAAAGATAAAAAAATTTTTTGTTTGTTTTATATTTGAAAAGAAAAATTTGATTTTATTACACGACATTAATGAATTTATTTCAATTACAAAAATCAAGTGTTTTTTTAGTTGAACTTCTCTAAGTAAATGAAAGTGAATCCGCAAATTATTCGTTTCTTCTCTAAGTAAAGTGCTCTTTGGTAAACCAATTTTTTTGTTTTTTGGTCTGACGTTAACAGAAACGAAGCGGATGGTTTCCCAACTCGTGAACAGGCAACGTTTAACTGCCCAATTTGAAATTTATCTCGCAAACTCTAAGCGATTCGCCTTGCGACTTGTTAATTGTTATTGCGAACGCAAGGCACACTGGAAATTGCAATCGTTTGAAGTCAAATGGAATCATTGGTATGTCACCAAATCGCCAGCAATTTTTGATTGAATGGTGAAATTCAGTGCGTGTACATCATTATTCTTTGCGGCAAGAATTGCTCGTTGACTTAACCAAGCGTAATTCTGATTATTCTCACTAATGTCATTACTCGAATTTTTAATTACGGTGCGTGAAGTTCCAGCAAATCAAGGCACGATGCCACTAATTTTGTTAGCTATAAACCTTGCGGAGCCGAGACCTTTCTAACAAATGCAAAATTGCCGAAATCGGTTCGTGCGTTCTAGAGTTATATCGTCAGGAAGGAAAACCCGACTTATTTTTATATATATGTAGATGACAAAAAACGTGATAATCTAATCTAATACTGTAATTCATTTATCAACAAAAATCATTATTTTATTATATTATATAAATTTTGAAAACTACCTAAGTACTGCTTCACTGTGTCCAATAGGTTTTCCATCCTTCATCCAGCTGACGGTTCTCACTGGATTTCCAGTAAAATGGCAAGTAAACACGGCTGGTCTTCCAAAATCGATTGTTTGACTTCTTGGTTCAACGTGGGCTTTTAGTGGTGCCGTTACTGTTAGAACTGTTTCCACACTTTCGCCTCCAACTGAATTATTGACCACACACAAATATTTTCCACTGTCTTCCACAACTGCTTCCTTGATGATCAATGTTCCAGAAACTTGTTTTACTCTGTCGTCCAAAACTACTGCTTGTTTTCTTGTACTTCCTTCGATGAACTTATACCACCTGTAGAAGAATGGAGAAAAATAGTTACAACTTTATACTTTTTAGTAATCTTCACACACGATTTGACAAAATTTAGATGAGTAATACATTTGAATAGAAAATTTGTCGATATATCAATTTACTTGAAATACACTATGATCAACTGATAGATAGAGTGTATACTATTGAAACTAATCGTGCTTAACTTTGAAGAAGTACTAGCATTTAGTAAATAACACTTTTTTAAGAAATTTGTCAATCGTGTGTGAATTTTAAATATATATAGCCAAATAAAAATGCGGTGAAAATAATTTATAGCGAGATGCACGGAATGATCAATAAAACAGAAAAAGCGCTCACAGCTAGTTATTTTATCCCAAATTTAACATGCATTAAAGATTACCAACTCCTTCAGTTTTGACAGATCGTTTCTAAAAAATAGTGATGACAGTTTTATAAAATTAAAAATTATTTTGAAATCTTTTTGTCAACTTCATGAAGTGTGGGAATCGCAAGATCAAAATTCTAATGCAAATACAGGCTCACAAAAAATAAGCACCGCAACAAAAGCCAACTTATTTTGATACAAATAATTGAGTTACTAACTAAAAGACAACCGAAAAAGACAAACATCGAAAAAGACCGCGATTAAAAAATTTTAGGAATCAATATTTTTACAGGTTATTTAAAACACACTGCACTCAAAGGTAATTTTAAATTATATATTTATATATACATTTATTTAAAAAATCCACAAAACGCAATTAAAATTACTTCTAACTCCGTGCATCTTCACCTGGAAAAATAACTGAAAATATATTTAATTAAATTCGGATTTCAATAATAAATGAAAAAATAAATTTTGATTTGATTTGATTAAATCTGATTTTGATTTCAATAATAAATGAAAAAAATAAATTTTGAAAGTTTCCGAAAAGTACGAATTCCTTCATAAAAATATTTTAAGAACTTATATTTTTCACCAATAAATAATATAATAAATATACTTACGTTATACCCAACATTTAAACATATAATATTAAGATACTGAATGAAATGAATACGTAATGTAAACCCTTGATCTATCTGACTATACTACGTATTATAATAGGGATTAATTCTCGATTATCAATTTTGAATATATTTTCGATATGTAGAGAAATCTTACTTAAAATAAGGCACGGGATGACCGACAACTTCACATAATAAATAAACATTGGAATTTTGTTTGATCGTCACAATTTTTCCTCCGTCATACTTTTGACCCGGTACTTTTGGAGCAATGTTACTTGTTGGAGCTACAAATGTTAAATATTTTCCATTTACAAATATGTTAGAATTTAATGATATCGCCACTGCCCGATAGCAAGGTAAATAAGGGTGTCCCAATAATCATAATACACATTTAATTAAGATTTTCTTTTCTAATCACGACTTACTTAAAATATGGCACTGGAAAGCCAATTACTTGGCAAGCTAAAGCAACCGGGGTGCCAAATCGGTTAGACACTTTGTTGAAACCGAATTTGTCATTCAAAGCTTGGGAGCAATATTGCTCGTTGGTTCTGGAAAAGTTTATCCAATTAATTATTCGAGTGTAAATCAAAGGAATTAATTTTCATCGCCACGGCCTGATTTTTGACACAATGCTTCACAACGACAAACTTCAATGAAAAATGTAGTAAATATACCATAAATAAAATAAATGATTGGAGATTAATTTATTAGCACAATTATAAAAATAAATTCAAAAAAATCATAAGTATAATATTCGTAATAATATGTTATTTATCAGATATAACAATAATAAGAGAATAATTCCGCCAAATTTACTTATTTTAGTACTTTCTACGATAGTATATATTTTGATGTAACATGAAACTCAATTTTTCATTGATATATTATTATTTGGTGGTCCTAGTATATTTAATTCAATATCAAAACTTGTTATGAGTTTGATAATTATAATTAATAGGCAATAACAAAAAATAAATTATTACATTTTTAGATTGATCTATTTACAAAAATATTGTAAAAAAATAGTGAATTAGTGAAATTTTTGATTCGGTTGAAGCATTGTCTGCTGAAGACGTAAGACAAGTTTTAGAATTGATTAAAAAAAATTGCTTAATGAGTTAGAATTTAATATAAATTGAACAAGTATAATAGAACATATGTATATTATCCAAAAAGCGGGAAAGAAAAAACTTGTTACTTGAAAACATTTGTACATTTATAATCGAGTACATTATTATGTTAAATAAATGTAATATATATTTATCTGAGCCTCTTTTTCAATTATATGATCATATCGACGATAAAATTCTGAATTTAATATATTCGTTTCCTATAATATAATTGATTAATGCATGAGATTAGAGCGAGTGCAAGACACATGTAAATCAAAAACCTATTCATCGATAGATATTATTCAATAGATGTTAAATGATATTGTGTAAGTAGAATAAAAACGCTTGCTTGAGAATTTCATAACTAATTAATATGAAAATACATAAAATATACTATTTATATTATGTGTACAAAATCATTAATGCGCATAATTAAAATAAAATTTCGCTGATTCTAACACAAATTATTTTACGGAAGATATACTTTGATCTATGTTAAATATTCAATAAAAAGATTGTCTTTTTTCTTAGTAGAATTTTTAAACCGCATGTATAAAATTAGTTTTTACTAAACATTTTTAGACTTACTTAAAGTAAGGTACAGGAAAGCCAACAACTTGGCAAACCAAAGCAACATTTCTCCGACATCATTCCGTATTTTATTAAATCCAATTTTGTCATTTATTGGTTTTGGAGGTAAATTACTCGTGGGTTCTGCAATATTTTCATAAATAATGAAAATTGAAAAAATAACATATATAAATACGTTGTATGTAATGCCAGTGCCTTTCAGTGGAAGGGTTTAAAGTTTACTTGATCATTGATGTTATATCATTTTCTTAACATTGAATGAAATATTGTAACTATAAGTGTAGCTATATTACTAATAA